GTTTGTTTTAGTTTGTAGGTTTGTGTGCATGTTTGTTATCATGTTTGTTTGTTAGTTTGTAGGTTTGTGTGCATGTTTGTTATCATGTTTGTTTGTTTTAGTTTGTAGGTTTGTGTGCATGTTTATTTTCATGTTTGTTTGTTAGTTTGTAGGTTTGTGTGCATGTTTGTTATTATGTTTGTTTGTTTTAGTTTTTAGGTTTGTTTGCATGTTTGTTTGTTAGTTTGTAGGCTTATGTGCACGTTTGTTTTCATGTTTGCTTGTTTTAGTTTGTAGATTTGTTTGCATGTTTGTTAGTTTGTAGGTTTGTGTGCATGTTTGTTTTCATGTTTGTTTGTTTTAGTTTGTAGATTTGTTTGCATGTTTGTTATTATGTTTGTTTGTTTTAGTTTTTAGGTTTGTTTGCATGTTTGTTTGTTAGTTTGTAGGCTTGTGTGCATGTTTGTTTTCATGTTTGTTTGTTTTAGTTTGTAGATTTGTTTGCATGTTTGTTAGTTTGTAGGGTTGTGTGCATGTTTGTTTTCATGTTTGTTTGTTTTAGTTTCTAGATTTGTTTGCATGTTTGTTTGTTAGTTTGTAGGTTTGTGTGGATGTATGTTTGTTTTAGTTTGTTGGTTTGTTTTCACGTTTGTTTGTTAGTTTATAGGTTTGTTTGCATGTGTATTTGCTTGATTGTTTGCTTGCATGTTTGTTTTCATGTTTGCTTGTTTGTTTGTAAGTTTGTATGTTTGTTTATTTGCATATCATTTTGTTTTCATGTTTGTTTGTTTGTTCACATGTTTGTTTTTTATATTTTTTTTATATTTTAAAATACAATAGATGTCTCTAAAGACAGGCTGAATTTTCAGCATTATTACATCAGTCTTGATTAGTTTCAGTGTGAAAAACAGCTGTGCTCCTTCACTTTTTATAACGTTTTAAACGCCACTTTTGATGAATTTAATGCTTCATTAAATATTATGCTTTTTCTTATCCACTGAATGTTTCAGCCAATTTAGCTCATTCTGTAAGCAGCTGCTTTTTCTGTGTTAACCTACAGTGCTGAACGTTTTAGATTTAAGGTGTTGTTGCAATCATGGCCATTTTAATCATGTTAATAATAATAAAGCAACTTGATATCCAGCATAATTGAAGTGTACAGGATCACTGCTGTGAAAGAGTAGACAGTACAGCTCCAGAAACTCTAGATTTAGAAATAAGGAGTAACTAATGAGGTTGCAGAAGCAGTAAGCGTGTGAAGCTCTTCACTCCAGGAGCTGTCAGAGCCTGCAGACGGCCAGATCCCGCTAGTAAACATTTTCCACTGGATTATCTGCTTCTCAAACCGTCCCGTGGCTGTCTGGATCTAACTGGATTACTGAACGGCTCGGGACGAAGACAGCAATCATGACAAGCGTCTGCTCCACTTAACAAAGCCCAGTGACCCGTAAGACCCGCATGTCCATTACCCAGTGACCCGAAAGTCTTCAGGGCCCTATCCATCCAAGCCATTATTGTGTATGAAAACATGAATCATGTGTCATCACCATACCATCATAACATGCTCTAGCTATGTTTACATCCATCCATTTTTGTGGGCATTTTAGGATATTGCATAAATAAGCGCTGAATGCTAAAATATATATATATATATATATTAAAAAAAGGTATTACACATAATTGTATTTGCGGTACACGTGATAAATGACATTTATTTTATGCATTGGTTGTTTATTTAAATTTGACCAATCAGATGGGCCCTTACTATATTTATCCCCAACTCCCCAGGAGTTGCTGTTCTGCTATTGGCTTGAGCGGCCTAAAGGTGAACCCAGAGCTGAAGATAAATACGTATTATGCGAGTCGAGATGAAAGAGGAAAATGGCAACAGCCAGAGTCAGAAAACCTGTTGAGGTTTTCACTCATTCATAGTATTTTTAAGACTAAGGCCTCTGTTTTAATGATCTAGGCGCAAAGTCTAAAGCGCATGGTGCAAAAGCATTTAGGGCATGTCTGAATCCACTTTTGCTATTTTAAGGACTAAAAAATACACTCTGCTTTCTGGCGCATGGTCTAACAGTGTTGTGCTTATTCTTATGAGTGTGTTTTGAGCATAACGTCCATTCCCTTAAATAGTCAGTTGCATTGCTCCATGCATACCTGTCAACATTGGGATGTAAAAATAAGGGATATGCTCACCCTAATAAGGGACCACCTAAAACCCCCCAACCCCCAAATAGCAACAAATTGCTCCAAACACGTCTTGAGCCTTATTGCGCCATGTGTATGATAGGGCACTAAATCTTTGCACCATGATAGTTTTTTAGTTGGATTTAAAAAATTATATATGTCTAAAACAAATCTTTTGATTTTTTTATTTTAATATAATTAAATCAATAAATGATTTTAAAACATGGCTAATAAAATAGCATTTTTTAAAGGAAATGTTATATTGTAAAAAAATATTGCTATCGCAGTACTCAACAACAGCATCACATATTTTTCCAGTGTTGTGCAGCACCATTTTAGGCTATACTTCTTTTACACTAACTAACATTAGCAATATATAAGCATGTTCATGAATCTAAAATTAATTTTGTGCACACGATTTACACACACACAAACACAAATAATTCCAATAGTTCAATAAACGTACACAGTTGCATCAGATACATTTGTAATCCTGTTAAGAGATAAACTATGATGGAAACACATTTACCAAATACATTCATTGATAACATAAAAAAAAGTTTTGTACTATGGTGGAAAAAAGAGGTAATTTCTCCGCTTTCAGACATAACTTTTGTTGTTCATATATTGCACTAGTTTCCCATGAAGTGACCATGTTTGCAGTAGGTGTTTTATTCTGAGATGTTTTATGTGATTTTTTGATTTAGTGCATTAAGTAAATTTGCAGTGTTGGATGGAAACTGAGCTGAACTGTGACTCTCTGGATGACTCTTTCTGTGTGTTTGATAGTCTTTAAGTGTTTATGTCTGTTTTCTCCCACAGACGCAGAGAGATTAATGTGTATTTGAATAATTTGTGCATGAATGGCCCATTGTAAATTAGATTTTACTGTGCCATAACGGCGTGCTTTAGAATCAGAGCTTGGCTCTTAGCATTGGCTGAACGCCAGTCTCGAGTGCCGGCGATGCTTTCCCTTCATGTCCTCCCAGTTAGTTTGAAAAAAATTAAGCCTTTTTACACAACACTGTTTCTTTTTGCTTTGCTTTTCTTTTCTTTTCTTTTTTTCCTTTTTGATAATAAACACTCCTGGTAGTTACTGTGTTTCTTGTGCTCTGTTGTTGTGCTTTGTGCAATGACTGTTTGTTTGACTTAATTCTAATGCAACTATGCAGTATTTTTAGGGATGTTATTATTAAAAATGTATTCAAATATCACACAGCAAATATTAATATAAAAGACAGGACTCACCAGCCACTTTATTAGGTGCACATGTCCAACTGCTCGTTAGATTTATTGATTCAATCAATCATACAGTGATTTGATTAATTGATTGATTGATTGATTCATTGATTCATTCATTCATTCATTCATTTATATATTGATCTATTCATTCATTCAGTTTCCTTGCATTTATTCATATTGAAATATTTAATCAATTTCCTTTCATTCATTCTTATTGAATTCAATTTGATTTATTGATTGATTGATTGATTCATTTATTCAGTTTCCTTGCATTTATTCATATTGAAATATTTAATTAATTTCCTTTTACTTCTCTAGGTTTGCCAAAATTAAGATCAGTGATTTCATATGTATTATTCCATTCTGCAAGACTTTCATTCATTCATTCATTCATTCATTCATTCATTCATTCATTCATTCTCTTATTTTGGATTCAATTGGATTTTTTGATTTATTAATTTAATCAATCAATTAAACAATCATACAGTGATTGATTGATTGTATGATTGATTGATTTATTGATTTATTCAATTGATTGATTGATTGATTGATTGATTGGTTCGTTTGTTCGTTCGTTCGTTCGTTCATTCATACATTAATTGATTGATTCATTCATTCAGTTTCCTTGCATTTATTCATATTGAAATATTATCAATTTCCTTTTGCTTCTTTAGGTTTGCCAAAATTAAGATCAGTGCTTTCAAACAGATCATTCCATTCCGCAGGAAGTTCATTTGTTTGTTCATTCTTATTGAATTCCGTTGGATTTATTGATTCGTTCATTCATTCAATCAATCATATTGATTGATTGATTGATTGATTGATTGATTGATTGATTGATTGATTGATTCATTCATTCATTCATTCATTCATTCATTCATTCATTCATTCATTCAGTTTCTTTGCATTTATTCATATTAAAATATTCAATCAATTTCCTTTTGCTCCTCTAGGTTTGCCAAAATTGAGGTCAGTGCTTTCAATCTGATCATTTCATTCTGCGAGACTTTCAATCATTCATTCGTTCTTTCATTTATTCACTCAGATTTAATAGGCTTGATTCATTCATTCATTCATTCATTCATTCATTCATTCATTCATATATTGATCTTTTCATTCATTCAGTTTCCTTGCATTTATTCATATTGAAATATTTAATCAATTTCCTTTTGCTCCTCTAGGTTTGCCAAAATTGAAATCAATGCTTTCAATCTGATCATTTCATTCTGTGAGACTTTCAATCATTCATTCGTTCTTTCATTTATTCACTCAGATTTAATAGGATTGATTGATTGATTGATTGATTGGTAAGTTGGTTGATTGAGTCATTTATACAGTGCTATATTGATTGATTGATTTATTGATTGATTCATACATTAATTGATTGATTGATTGATTGATTGATTGATTGATTGATTGATTGATTTGATTGATTGATTGATTGATTCATTCATTCATTCATTCATTGATTGATTCATTGATTGATTGATTCATTGATTTATTCATTTATTAATTTATTTATTCATTCATTCAGTTTCCTTGCAATTATTGTACATGGAAATAATATTAATTTCCTTTTACTTCTCTAGGTTTGCCAAAATTGAGATCAGTTCTTCCAAACCGATCATTCCTTTCCGCGAGACTGTGGTCCGACCACCCCGAGTGGACATGGTGAACGAGGATTTAGGGAAGCAGCAGAAGGTGGCTGTGATTCACCAGGTGAAAGAGGAACAGTCGAAGAATCCAGAATGTGTTCAGGTGGACTCCAGCGGCCTGGTCTCACTCACAACCCCAAACAAGATGGCCACGGTCGGCGTACGGGCCATTCCTCTGCCTGAACAGGTCACCTGCCTGCTGGAGGACAATGTGGAGCTCATCCGCACCATGGAGCAGTTCAACCTGTCCGTCCGTGAGGGCAAGACTCTGGACATCAGCCAGAAGATCTTGGACAACATACAGGACTTCAAGGTAGACCTCAATAAACCATTAATGGGATAGTTTATCCCAAAAAAAATTTATTCTGTCATTTATTCTACCTCCTGGCTTTAAATATATATATATATATATATTTGAAGAATGATGGTAGATGGAACACATTGACTTCTGTAATAGAAAGAAAACTGCCTATAGAAGTCAATTGGTGCCAACAACCAGCATTCTTCAGAATATCTTCTTTTGTGTTCATCAGAAGAAATAAACTCAAAGATGGTTTGAAAAAGTAAACGGTGAGTAAATAATGACAGAATTTCTATTTTTGGGTGAACTATCCTTTTTAGACCTTGTTTACAATAGGTGTAATGGTTTGCGTCCAATGTCAAAAGTCCCAAAATAACTAACCATACCACTTTTTGGGGCCCTAGGGTAGCTAGCAAGAAAAAGACAAGAGAATGAAAACATAGGAGATGCCAATTTTAAATGCAAAACTAAAACATGACACCATAATACCAATAATATATTATTAACAGTTTATTGATGCAAGGTCTATTAAAGTTTTTTTAAGGTTTTATTTTTGTCTATCCGAGCTTTATCTATCTGAGCTTTTTGAACTGGAATTATGCTCGGTGGTACTTGATTTTATTTGTTGAGATTTGATTTGATAACTCGATGATTGTAATTTGTTATTGATGGATATTATTATTGACATTTGATGGCACTCTCATTAGTAAACACATTATAGAACAGTAGACATGTTGGAAGATTAGTCGACTAAAATTAAAATAATAAAAATTAAATCATTTTTGTTACTTGGCATAATACACTATTATAATAACTTTTATGAACCCCTGGAGTCAGGTCCATTTATTTGTCTTTTTTCTGTCTTTTTTTATACAGTTAAAGTGAGAACTATTAGCCCCCTTTTGATTTATTTTATTTTTTTTAATATTTCCTAAACGATTTTTAACAGAGTAAGGAAATTTTCACAGTATGTCTGATAATATTTTTTTCTTCTGGAAAAAATCTTATTTGTTTTATTTCAGCTAGAATAAAAGCAGTTATTAATTTAAAAAAAAATATTTTTTGGACAATATTATTAGCCCCTTTAAGCTAATTGTTTTGTCAATAATCTACAGAACAAACCATCGTTATACAATAACTTGCCTAATTACCCTAACCTGCCTAGTTCACCTTATTAACCTAGTTAAGCCTTTAAATGTCACTTTAAGCTGTATAGAAGTGTCTTGAAAAATATCAAGTAAAATGATATTTACTATCATCATGTCAAAGATAAAATAAATCAGTTATTAGAAATAAGTTTTTAAAACTATTATGCTTAGAAATGTGCTGAAACAATCTTCCCTCCATTAAACAGAAGTTGGTGAAAAAAAAGACAGGGGCGCTAATAATTCTGACTTCAACTATATATATATATATATATATATATATATATATATATATATATATATATATATATATATATATATATATATATATGGTTTTTAAATATTTAGCTTAATTTTGTCATTAATTTTCATTTCAAGGTGAAGTTGGAGAGCCACCTGCAGGGCCACAAATGGAGAAATGCAGTGGATCATATCTGGGCGTTTGGTCCTCGCCGCTGTGGCCCAAATATCCTCCTCAACAGCATCGAGGGCTACAGAAGACCCTCTGTATGGCAGTGTCTGGAAACCGAGAAAACTGAGTCCAGCGCGCTTCGAGACTTCGACAACAGCATTGCCAGTGGCTTCCAGTTAGCGACACTCGCCGGCCCCATGTGTGAAGAGCCTTTGATGGGTGTGTGCTTCTCTGTGGAGTCCTGGGACATGAAGATTTCCACACCTGTAGCTCAGCAAGACTCCGTAGATGAAGGTTCCCAGCCTGCAGAGCTTAATAATGAGCATTCGGAAGTCTCTCCTGTGAGCTCTAGCCGAAGCCGGAGCAAAGCAGAGGCTGCTGGGAGTTCGGTTGACTGTTACGGGCCATTTTCAGGTCAGCTGATCGCCGCTGTGAAGGAGGCCTGCAGATACGCTTTCCAAGCCAAACCTCAGCGACTCATGGCTGCGATGTACACCTGCGAGATCATGGCCACGGCTGAGGTCCTGGGTAAGCTGAGTTTATTCACGTTTCTTTGATTAAAAGACTGCCTTGGATTTAAAAGTCTGAGTGTGCTAGTTTAGGCTCAGTTCAACAAGACAGTTCAGATGTTTTTTTTTATAATGTGTTAAAAAGTGTCATGTTGGGGGCGTGTACACAGCTCGCTGTTTTAGGGGCGTGTTGCTTCACATAAAAATTAGTTTCGGCTTCCCGCCCAACGAAACAAGGGGGCGGAGCCAAGAGCTCCCACACTCTCTGTTTGCAACAGACAGGCTGACAGAGAGATCAGCATTCAGCCGAACATGTACGACTCGGACACAGACCAAGCAGAGAGTACAAAATCAAAGACAAAATGTGTCTTTGTATAGTCTCGGTGTACAATTGCCGAGCTTGTACACCGAGACTAATAACCACACACACTAAATTAACTTTGACTGAGGCACTGAATGAACCGTGACACGGCACACCTGACACTCTCAGTGGCGCGGTTGAAACATGAAGTGTCCCGAATCATCGCGCCACCCAGCGCCATGCATTCCAGAACTCCAAACACAGCCCTCCACCAGGGCAAACACAACGGCGCCACTTCTGGTGTGCGACCTGCAGGCAAGTTTGTTATGAGGCAACACGCTTGCACTTTTCCAGCTGCACCTAAGATCACAGGGAGCTTCTGTGTTCGCGAGAAATGCAAACGCTGAAGTTTAAGGTACACGCAGTGAAAAGTACACGTTTGCAAACCTACCAAAAGGTACAAGCAATAATTCCGATTACAGCGATAATGTGGAGAATATCGATCTTGTGTTAAGTCCAATGAGCATTACATCTAAAAATAAAGCAAGGTTTAGCTTTAGTGATATCGCTTTGACTCAAACGGTAAAAATGACGGATGTGAAACAGGAAATTGAGGATATGATCGTGACGCGAGGCTGTCAATCAATATTGGTGGGCAGGGGAACCGCTCTCCTACGTCAAGTTGCGGTCAGTCTGAGAACCGCTCCAATTGGTCCACCGTTTTTATGTTGAAAAAAAAAGGACTGGGTGTGTTTATATCACCCCAATATGACGATCTATAGACTATACCTACACACATCTGTCCAAACAGCTTGAAAAGTAGATTTTTTTACCATAGGTGCCCTTTAAATAGATCCAAAACTCTGTCTATACCAGAGATGCCAAAAGTAGGGCCCGCGGGCCAAAGTTAACCCATTGTAACCTTTGATTTGGCCCACCATCCTATCTGAGAGGAGAAGTCAGTATAATGGAGAGGGTTGGAGCAAATGACTTTAAAACAGAGATCGTCATTTCTAATATTACGTAACTTTTGTTTGAATTTATTGCTGAGCTACAAAGAAGCAAAATGGAATTAAATGTTTCAATTAAATTTTGTGAAAAAATCAAAAAAATGTTTAAATGTAAATACTGTAACTTCACGAACAGAGGACTATGCAGAAGACATCATTGAGAAAATCAAGGCGCTAGTGTAATTCCGTACTAAATGAGATTGTTTTGATTTTATTGTAATAAGTTCATTATTAAATGTAAAAAAAAATTACTGTATTGGTTAATATAAAGCAATGTTTTCTAGTCATTTCTAAACATTATTTATTAAACTAGGAATTACCCATGGCAACTATATTTACCTTTATCCCACTAGCCTCAATCAAGTTTGGTTTTTGGCCCTTCATAGGAAAAAGTTTGGGCACCCCTAGTCTATGCTGAGTTTAGCCAAAGCACTGAATAAAATATATAACTAAATCCATCAAATTTTTCAGTAAAAACAGCAGCTGTGGTTGGCAGAAATGTGATAGGAACCTTAGAAAAGGTTTTGAATTATTTACAGTTAACTATTGTATTCCATAAATTTAATATCAATGCACCAACAGTTTGAAGTACTAACATCTACACTAACATCTACCCGACAAAGGTCTTGTGATCGATCCCAGTTGTATAAGCAGCAAATAATAACTTGACTTGGCAGAAGGTCGATTTTTCTGTTGAATCATCTGTTGAACTGCATCCCAATCGTCACAAATACTGCAGAAGATCAATTGGAACCCACATAGACCCAAGATTCTCAGAGAAATCAGTCAAGTTTGGTGAATAAAAATCATAGTTTGGGGTTACAATCAGTATGGGGCGTGTGAGAGATCTGCAGAGTAGATGGCAACATCAACAGCCTGAGGTATCAAGACATTTGTGCTGCCCATTACATTACAAACCACAGGAGAGGGCAAATTCTTCTTCAGTAGGATAACGCTGCTCCTCATACTTCAGCCTCCACACAGGTTCCTGTAAGCAAATATTTCAATTCACTTCAATTTAGTTCTAAAGCATTTTAAAACAACGCAGTCGACCAAAGTGCTGACAACAGAGAGTAAAACAAACTTTAAAATACAAGTAAATAAACATAAAAAGTCAACATCTCACGCTGTGCTAAAAGCCAAATTGAACAAGTGGGTTTTAAGAAGACATTTAAAAACAGTAATGGAAGAGGCTTGTCTTATATACAACGGCAACTCATTCCACAATTTTGGTGCTGCCACAGCAAAAGCCCGATCCCTGCCAGATAAGGTCAAGGTGCTCCAGGATTGGGCTGCCCAGTCACCAGACATGAACATTATTGCGCATGTCTGGGGTAAGATGAAGGAGAAGCATTGAAGATTAATCCAAAGAATCTTGATGAACTCTAGGAGTCCAGCAAGAACGCTTTATATTCCAGATGACGTTATTTGAATCATTACAGATATGTATGGATGCAGTCCTCCAAGCTCATGGGAGTCATACACAATAATAATTATTTTTTTCCACTGCAGCAGGACTTTATATTATATACTGGACATTATTTCTGATAAGTGACAAGACTTTTGTTCAAGCAAAGTCAAACCTTACTGTCCTAATTTAATAATTCAAAATTAAGGCATGATCATATTTTATTTTGGTAAAATAAGCGTAATCTAGAGACCTTTGCCTTTTATATTAGCCACTTCTGATACCAAATTATCAACTAAAAGTAAAGGTATTATTTTTTTGTTCCTAAAACTTGCATAGGAAGCAAGACTTTTGTCAGTGTACACATTTTACCTTTGTATACATAAAAACAGTGATGAGAGAGTCACATGATGAACCAAAGCTCATTACAAACAGCTTTTTCAAAAACAGAGAGGCATACTAATATATATAAGACACTCAGTGTCATTTACACAACCACTAAACACCATTAAGGTAACACAGATGAAACTAAAGTAATGAAGAGTTATTTATCCAAAGTATATATCATTTTAAACTCTAATCTAATCTCTGTTGAGAAAAACAACTCCAAAACAACTAAAAAGAGCCATTGTAATATCAACAAAAAAAGCATAAAAAGCGTTATGGAGGGAATTCTGGGATGGTCAGTTTACGGTTATTCACTGTATTTAATAAGAACACTTACTGTTAGTCAGGTTGCAGATTTTTACTGTATCTTTTATCTAGTTTATCTTTTTTTTACCATTAAAATTTGAGCCATTTTAAGTGCTCTTTTACTAATAAATAAGCTCATGTAACAAGCTGTCATTTTGCCAGTTTTGCCAATATATGCTGGTTTTACTAAAAAGAAAGTTTGAGTTCTGAAAATGTTTCTAAGGCACATTGACCCCTTATATGTTAAAACATCAAATGAAAAAAAGATTTTTCTGACAGTCACATGTTTAATGGGGTTTAAAATAAACTGAAACTGAGAGGAAAAAGCCACTTAGACGAATAGTCCACCCAAAACCAATCATTATTCATTCACCCTGATGTCATTCAAAACTGGTAGAAACCCGGATCAGTGAATAATGACCTTTACTCCAATCTGTTCTCCACACAAAACTATCGTGTGACCTGGAATATGAGACTTTTATGATCCTTTTATGGCACTTTTGTGAAGTGCGATGGTCCCAGTCGTCATTTACGTTCATTAAATTACAAACAGTGGCCAAGACATTCATCAGAATCCACCTTTTTTATGGAATAATGAGAGTCACTACAGCCCCAAATCAAAAAGAAAAGTTGTGACAGTATATAAAACACTAAATTTACTTAATTTGTATTTAATTGCAGATAATACAGCAAACATTATTTGATGTGTTATAATAATTATATACAACTCAAAATAAACACATATTCCAATTTTGGTTCTAACAACACCTTTCAAAAAAAATTAGAGCAGTAAAGTATTTACCTCATTGTAATGTTGCCATTACTTTTCTCAACACTTAAAAGACGTTTAGGGACTGAAGACACAAAAGGATGAAGTGTTTCATGTGTAATTTTGTCCCATTCTTCCTGCAAACAAGTCTTAAGGTGAGCAACACTGTGGCTTGTGGCTATGCGCTTCAAAATGCACCATACATTCTCTATTGGAGACAGGTCAGGACTGCTGGCAGTCCAGTCAAGTACCTGTATCCTCTTCCTCTGCAGCCTGGACTTTGTAATGTATGCATAATGTGGTTTTGCGTTGTCTTGTTGAAATATGTATGGGTGTCCCTAGAAAAGAAGGCAGCATATTGTGCTCCAAAATCTTGATGTACTTTTCAGCATTAATGGTGTCATCACAGAAATGCGAGTTACCTTTGCCAAAGGCACTGACACAACCCCATACCATGACAGACCCTGTTTTTTGGACTTGTTTTTGGTAGCAGTCTGGATAGTACGTTTCTTCTTTGGTCTGGTGCACACAGTGTCCGTTGTAAAAAATAAATCCGTAAAATTTACGGTAAAAAAACGGCAGCTGTGGTTGCCAGTACTTTACCGTTAAAAACACGTTACAAACCGTAAAAGTAATTTTTCATTTTTACAGTAAATTACCATATTTTAATAATTTATCGAGGTAATATGTCTGTATTTTTGAATGATCAACATCTACACATCTTTTGTTACACAGTTAGACACGTTAGCACACCCACATGCAGGTGGTGATGAGGAAGTTACATAATGAGCCGATGCTCATCACAATCAACTTCTCCCATGAGCAGAAAAGAGTATCA